GCATCACACCTGAAAGGCCAGCTCCATGAACGAAACCACAGCAACCCTGTAAATTATAAATAGCCCATTTCCTTGCCACATCAAGCCACAAAGCCAGGTTATGTTGACTTTTTCAGGAGACATATAACAGGCAAATATTGAGGTTCCAGGTCAATGAAAACCACAAGATCTTTCTCCATGAATCGCCCCCCATGTACAATAGATTTTTTGACCCTTTAGGGTCCATTCATTTGAAAGGCTTTGCTTTACATTGCTTGTATTGCTATAAAAAGTCCTACCATGTGTTCTGAGTGGAACAATCTCTTAACTTCCCCAAAACATTGAGGTGATTGGAGAAGCCTGACAGAGCAGGACAGACTGGGTGGCTGTTGGCTGAAGTTGGAGGAACACATGGCTTTGCTGGACTCTTTCCTTCTACTGCTCCCTCCAAGCCAGCCCCGTGTGCTTTGGGGTGTAAGGAAGGAACTGTGTCACCAGGGCCCAGCTCCTCGCTGTGTAAGAGGCAGAGAGGGCATTCCTGTTGTGTGAAAGTGAGTGAGCTATGGTCTGAGCTCAGGGCTGCGTGGGTTCCCAGGGCTGGGACAGTGGCAGGGGCAGCACCTGTGGGCAGCTCAGCAGACACCTCCCCTGCCCCCCCACACCCCCAGTAGAGAGATGGTAGAGCATCTGAGGCCCTCCCCTGTTGCCAAGACTTGGAGGGAGTATCTGGACAGGGAGATCCTGGAAAAGAGGATTTTCTGCTCATGAAGCCTTAAGAGCTCAGAGCACTGGGTGTCTGTACTCAGTGTGGGTGGGCCGAGGTGTGTACTCACTCATTCAAATCTTATCTCCTGCAATGTGGCTACTCCTTTGTTCCAACTGAAATTTGGTAAATGTGTCTTCCAAGCCTTCATTCAGTTTCTTAACATGTATACAGGATCAAACACAGAGCCGGAGGCCCTCCACTAGACGGCTACTCTAGGTAGCCACAGAAATGGTCATTATCACTCTTTCTGGGCAGCTGTGAGGAGCCTAAGTAAATTTTTAGCCAGGCAGCATCTTATCAGTAAGTGGGTGGGGGTGGGTGGGGGCGGGGGGGGGGGGCAGGGAAGACTTTGTCAAATGGTTTGCTGAAGCAGAAATGTACTGTATCGTATCTCCATATCCTGAAGTCCACTAAAAAAAGACATGAGAATGACTACCCTGGTTCACTCTTGATAATTCTGGATGCACTCTCATGACCACTGAATTATTCCCTAAATCCTCACAAACCATCCGTTTAATAACCCGTCAGCACAAAAGTGTGTGTGAGGCTCGTTACTCTCAAGAAATCTCAGGCCACCTTAGTATTTGGAGGACTCGGTACTATTTAAGCTGTATTTCTGACTGGCTTCACCAGCTATGCTCCTTCCATTATTTTAATAAACTTAGTAATACAACTGAACTCTGCTTCAGTCAAATCACATGTGCAGAGATATCTTTTAGATGTAGTTTAGAAGAATAGTAACATGGCAAAAAGAAAACTACTGTTTAAAAGGAAGTCCCTTTAGGCCCTGGCCAGTGTGGCTCAGTTGGTTGGACATCATCCCGTGCACTGAGAGATCGCCAGTTCAATCCCTGGTCAGGGCACATGCCTGGGCTGCCGGTTTGATCTCCCATTGGGTTGTGTGCAGGAGGCAGCTGATTGATGTTTCTCTCTCTCTCCTTAGCCCTTCCTCTATCTCTAAAAAAAAATAATAATAAAGGAAAAAGAAAGAGGAAGTCTCTTTAGATGTCAAGCTTAAAGCCTCCTTAATGTACCAAAATGGGATGCAATATAAAATTGATTTACATACAACTCTTCAGAAGCATGCTGTGTGTACAAAGAGGGCTCCACCCATACGGAACCTAATCATATGCCTGGACAGTGCAGAGGGGGTGGGCCAGATGCCCACCATCGGCGCCTCCACGTGCTTGTGACTGGAATTCTTTGTTGCTGGCTGGCGTGATTGTAATTTTCTACCACACTCTGCCTGCTGTCTGTCGAACCGAATGGATAATGACATTTTTAGTTGGGTTAATGTGATAGGAGATGGGGCATGAATTATGAAAAATGTTTTTAAAAGCAATGCAGGGAAAATATTATCAGACAGGAGAGCAGGAGCTCGTGCTGGCCAGTAGCCATCGTCTCAGGTTTTCTTCCTCGCATCCTACACAAGCAGTCACGGAGTATTTACTCTTACACGAGTCGCATACAAACAGAAGCTCTCTTTGATGGGCTTGCGATCATCTTTATACAATCCACAAACCTCGCAGTTATTCCCCTAGATTTGCAGACAAGCAGGTAGAGGTGGCTTGTGCAAACACACGCACAGATGAGCACACAATGCTATCATCATACACATCTTAATAGAAGACTCTCATTTGGCTGTTCCTTTTCATCTTCGTAGCATAATGAGTGATTTTTGTTTTGTTTTGTTTTTTCATAATGCACATATGTTACACTTAGAGTCAGATAAAATATTATTGCTATTGGGCTTTTAAAGAACGATTTCTTCTTGGGGGGGATCGGTCCAGCAGCCAAGCCTGGGGAGAAAGTTTCCCAATTTGCTTCTGTCTGCTCTCACATTGGTTATCTTCGTTATAGATGATCCTGAGTGTACGGCTGGTCAGCTATTTAGTAACTGGCAGTAACCATCAAGGGTAAAGGAAATTCCCCAAGAAAGGAAGCTCTTGGTAACCTGCAGTTTACCATATAATCAAAGTGGCCCAGTTAAACACAAAACGGATGGAATCTTTACTGACTGAGGAATTCTGCATCAAGGTACAGGCTGAGGGGCAGAGAGCTCGTTCGAGAAGCCAGAGACGGCTCTGTGAGTGGGCAAAAGAGACAACGTATGGGATAAAGACCCAGAAGGCTCAGACATTCTCCTGCTCAAAGGCGTCCTCTCCCCTTCTAGGCAATCCCTAGAACTTCATCCTTGGAGTTTCCTCCTCGAGGCTAAGACTTTGACCTTGTTAAATACACTTGGCCCCAGGGAGAGAAAACATTCAAGGCCAGTGCCAATTGTTAGGTTTCCTCTCCTTGGCACTTCGTAGTCGTGTTTGACCTAACCTCACTGAATCGATTTCTTCATCTGCAGAATGGGAATAGTAATAGCTCCCTTGAAGAGTCATGACAAAGATTAGAAACAAAATAGGTAAAAGACTTAGCGCTAGAAGGCAGTGAGAGTTGCAAACACTGGGATGCCCACGCTCCCAGACTGGTTTGAGTGCCAGGCGTCAGTCTCTCATCTCTTATTCCTCACAACACCCATTGGGTCCACGTGCTCTCGCCTCACCAAGTTATCATCACTCCTTTCTCAAATCTGTCTCTCCATCTGTATTTCCCCAGTGACCACTCTACTTC